CAAGATACAGTTTTTCCTATTGATTACACTGTACTTCACCATGAAATATCAGAAAGGTAAATTCCCAAACATGGAATCTGATCATTTCTTTTATGGACTAGACCCAAGATTAGGGCTCGGTATCATTCAGAAATTGCCAACACGATACATACCTCGATACATAGTGTAAGCCACGATACGATACTTATCGCAATACAGTGAGCTTATGATTCAATACGATTCAGTATGATCTTTTTTAAATCGATTTGATACAGTTCAATAAAAAAATAAATAAATAAAGGCTAAATCATGGCTGTGATACTAAAAGCCTTTGTTAAACCGCTTCTTGTGCAAAGTTAACATGAAACACACATTTTAATCCTCAAAACAGTAAAAATGTCAATTTTGTTGCAAATGTAAACGAGTTTCCTTCCTCTAAACAAGCAACAGAACTGTAGCTTTGGAAAATTTAGTAAAATATACCAAGAAACACTCTTGGCGATATATTCGATACAGGAGCCCCCGATATTGATACTGTATCTTCACATTAAAGGATACGTTATATCGATATTTCAATATTTTTGCACACCCCTACCAAAGACCATGCTATACTGCGAAGAAAAAAAAAGTTGTGTTCACAGGACTGAAGATCTTCATTTGTTACTTGCTAACTGTTCATTCCTGTTGTTGACAGCAAAGGGAGCACTAATGTCTAAATACCTCATTGGAAACTGATGTGTAGTTTATAAAGTGTGTTTTCCCCACATGTACACAGTAACTACAAGGGTTCTTTAAATGTTGGGGGTCTGTCACCTGCTTGTTTCCATGGACACCTCATTGCTCTAACGGGAACAAATAGCATTACAATACATTTATTAAATTACAGGTGGTTTTATAGCTCAAGAATACCTACAAAACACACATATTCTGGCTGTGAGCGGGGTCGCCTCTCCACAGATCTGACCTGTAACTCGGTCTGGTTTGGTTTCCATGAAGATAGGAAGGTTTAATTCTGCACTGTGAAGCTTTCCAGACAAAGCAATAACATCTCCACAGAGAAAAGGATTTGACGGGCTCTCCCACGGGAAAGTAATACAATGCAATTTTCACGTATTGGTGCAAACTTTCAGAAGCAGCCCACACACAAACGCATAACACATTTCAAGTCTGTCATACCTTGGAATTTGAACTTTGAACTCTACTTTTCACCGCTAATTGCTAATAATGAGCAATAATCGAGACTGTAGCCCGGAGCTCTGCAACCGTGTCGGACCAGATTAAATCCTCCCTGATAAAATATCTTCCTCCAATTAAGTCCTTTTAAGGTCAGTTTCCTCTTTAAAGGTCGAGGACACATGCTGAAAGGGCAGTGCCTTGGATCTGGAGACAATGGGTCTACCGCAAAAAGACATTTATTAAGACTATTCAATCAAACTTAATATTAGTATTCTGTACGCTGACTGTTTGTCCTTGAGCTCCTGACCCCAAGTGGCCGTGTATGGGCAGTTCAGCTGATGAAAAGCCCACACTGCTTTCATGATTAGAGATTAGGGTTGTCACAATAACACATTTTGAAGCATTGAAATTGCTTTATGGCACTGATGCAGTATAGAAAAGCCATAAAATCCTAGTAAACACAGGCTTAGATATACAGAATAATTATAAGGTCAGAGCTGCAACAGATAAAGAATGAACCATGTTGCTTATTTAAAGGCGCTATGTAACGTCTAAGGCAGCAGCCACACTAGTACGTATTCGAGTCATTTTGGTTGCAGCTGCAGTATTCGTCCACACTAATCAAATAGAAAATGGCTCCAGAGACGTAACGATCTGGTGCCACCAGTTCCCACAAATTCATCTGAGTACGGATCTGATCTGGCACTGTGTGGACGCCTGAAATCTCTGATACGCTGATGCAGGTCTATACACCGCAAAGTAATTCACCTCCAAAACACTAAGAGGCTAGAATATATGTCCATTCAGATATACAGTCTATGGTATGACCTGCAGTCGTATAATCTCTGAAAAGTTTAACTTGAACCATCTCCAACGAGATAGAAGCACAGAACAGACTCACCATTAACAGAACACCCCTCTGTCACAGAAAGAACACTCATAATCCACTGAGTCGTGTCCTTTAGTCCGAGAGAAGCTGAACCACATCAGCGCACAATAGCGAGCTGGTTTATAGCGCGCTATGGCTATGCAAAATAGCCATGCTGTTTTAAGTTTTGTTTCGGTAAAACATAAACACATATGTTCAAAGCTGTGTGGATAGGGAAGGCGGACACAGAAACGACGTGTCTGGATGCAGATTGTTTCTGATACGGTGATTCGTTTCAGTATAAATGCAGCCTAAAGTGGAAGGTTCGCTACTTGCTTGTCTCTATAGATATGCTATTTCTGTGCCTAGAATAATCCACAGTAGGACTTTAAATATATTTCCCTTGCATTTGTTCAAGTGCAGGTGTTTTATAGCTCAAAAATACCTTAAAAACATGAATTCTTGCCATGTACAGGCTTGCTTCTCCATAGAGATTACCAAGTCTATTTCAATACTGTGGAATAAAGAAGGCAAAACAATAATATCTCTTTGGAGACAAGCAAATGGCAGAAAGGTTACACAGCGCACTTTTAACTTTCTACAGCTCAAATGTTATGGTATTAAACAAAACGATAAATCGACATAGTAATTATTATGAGTAGTTTTATACACAAAACAGATAAAACCTAAAACATGCTTACAATATATCTTTTCTGGCACTAGCATTACTGTTGTTTATTTTAAAAAATAGACCTAAACCTCTCTATGTATTGTTGGGAAAGGGAAAAGCTGAAAAATACATAAATATTAAAGCATCCATGCAAAAAAAAATATATCCTCAAAATAAAAGTGCAACTCCCAAAAGATTTTGTGGGAGAAAAGTCCAGAGTTGCACTTAGACCATTAGTACTTTGCAGAAGGAAACTGCTAAAATCACCTTTTGAATACTTTATCAGGGCCCTGACCGGGGCTTTGTGTCTTTGTGTTGGCCGAGGCAAAGCTGAGACCACTGATCTGTGTGGAGAGAGGTGCTTTGTACAGTTAAGCTGACTGCTCACCAGAGGATTGTAAAATCTTCTGCAATTTTAAGACAAAGTTTGCAGACCAATTCCTGTGTAGTCTAAAGAAAGATTTGCTGCAAGTTGTTCAAATTAAATCCATTTGTGTCGTTCGGCAAAGACAGACTTTCCTGGGTAAATACACCGTGTTACACCATTGAAATGCGCTCACTACTTTTATCTTTTATCACACAGTTACATTACCGCTAATAATGTTATTTTTCAGTAGACTTTTATAATGAAATGTATTGAGTCTTAAAAGGAAAACAAGTGGAATTCATGATTGATATAACTTGAAACACGTTAAATTAAAGCACAATTTCGAAAGTTTAAGTAGATTTTAAAAAATTAATCAAATGAAGGTCAATGCAAACCACTCGTGACATACCGCAGAGCTGATGTGTTTTGGGTAACATGGGTATTTTTTTTTTTCTTTCTCTTCTAATTGGTGCGTAATGGGTACCTTTTTGAAGCTTCTTGATGTTGTTGGAAATGCAAAGTCCAGACAGCATTTTGTGGTCAAAGAAGGATGACTTTATAATTTACTAAATGTCTTCTAATCTGAATAACTTCTTTCATGATGTTTATTTATTTGCTCTTCTGTAATTATTACTAATAGGACTAGGACCAGTGTTTTTGGTAGCATGGGTATTTTTTTTTCTTTCTTGTCTAATTCTGCAGCCTGTTTGCATCTACAGAAGCCCTGCTAAGACACATTTTTCCACTATTTACATACATCAAAAATCTGGAGGGGAAAAAAAAGAAAAAGCTTCCCTGGTCTATCTGCCAGCTAACCTTATGTAAACCTTTCATTTGAAGCAATTCCAGTGTAGTTGACTGTTCATTACATCGAGTCAAAGTTGCTTTTTCAAGTTCGGTGCAACAACTTTTTAAAGTTTAAAATGACTGAGGCTGTGGCCTTTTGATGGTGAAGGAAGCGCTGAAATAACAGAAAGATGGCTGCCTTTTTGAAGCTTCTTGATGTTGGTGGAAAAGGAGGTTCTGACATAGCATTTTGTGGTCATATCGTGCTGGATAAAACTTTGCACTTTAGGGCGTCTAATCTTGGTGACTTCATTCTTGATATTTATTTATTTACTTTTCTATTTTTATTACTGTTAGGACTCGGCGCTGCCACCTGCCTGCCTGGAAGAGTCCACATTCAGGAATTACATGTATCCACCATTGCTTAAATTGTATGTGGCACCTGCTAGTTTCCATGAAAATAGTTCAGTAGCTGGAGTGTCCAAACTATGACCTGGGGGGTCAAATGTGGCCCTCAGACCAATTTTTATTGGCTCTCAAACCTTCTGCTTAACTTGCCCAATTGACCATAGGCAGTCATTTTTACAGCTGATTATATAATTCTACCACTATAACCTCAATAACATCACATTGCATTGTGACACAAATCTAAAATAAATGTTCAAAGCCTGATTAAAGTTACGAGGACTCTGTTAAAATGTTGTAAAATTTCCACATGTGAATGAGCAATTGTATTCACCACCGATTTGTCAGTGGTCCCCCGCCTCTATTATGTTACAAAATGTGGTCATGGGTGAAAAAAGTTTGGACACCCTTACTATATATATGTATACTTTTACGAATTTCCTTCGGAATAATCTGTCTATAGAGTGTGGTTGTATCATTGGCCAAGACACTTCTCTCCAATTATTATACCACCTTATATGATCTTTTCCACTTGGATTTTTGTTCACTCCAACCATGCAAATACATTACCTTTTTTCTCAAATTGATTTAGATATAAACTCTGGTCTGTTCTCATCCACTTCAGTATGTTGTGTATGTACATCATCACCTATATGTCTTTTCTGACCACAGTCCACAAGCCCAGTATGAATAAACATACTTACTTGAATAAACTAACTCACAATGCTATTTTTTTTTTTTCTTTCTAGATGTAACGTGGACAGCAAAGTCTCTCGAGTGGCATGGCTGAACCGCACCACCATCTTGTTTGCGGGGAACGAGAAGTGGTCCCTGGATCCTCGGGTGGTCCTGGTGGAGAACACAGCCGTGACGGAGTATAGCATCAAGATCCTGAACGTAGATGTCCACGACGAGGGTCCCTACGTCTGCTCCATCCTCACCAACAAGAAGCCCAAGTCCACCAAGGTCCATCTCATCGTGCAAGGTAGGACCGGTGGACATTTTGGTACTTTTTGGTTGGTACGGAAGAAAAATATATCACGAGATGGATAGATGATGGATAGATGATGGATAGTGAGTTCCATAGCAAAAGAAAAATGAGTTCTGTCAGCTGCAGAAAAGTTTTAAGAGCGATTATGTTTGACCTCTCATCCAAGTAGCTTCTTCAGTTCTTTAAGTCACTGCCTTACATCTGTCTGAAGGAAGGAACTAGCTGCATTGAAACTACAACGCTGTATTTCTTTACACTAAGGAGTATCTGTTATTATGAATCTGTTATTAATCGAATTTCCAGACTTTAAAGGTCCTTTATAATGCTGCGTTCAGACCACAGCATCAAAAAAATGCCCTTAGACGTCTCTATTTGGACACCTTTGCATTTGAGTTTAGACGCCCCTGATGCATGTCTCTGACATCGTGGACGAAACGGCGAAAAATACTTGACGCATGTCCAGGGCGTGGAAACAAGTGCCCAGTCGCGGTCTTTTCCTGGAACAATGGCAGACCAGTTAGAGAGTGACTTTTGTGTGTTTATTACATACAACCATCAGCGGACGTGATCGGCTCAGCAGCTGCGGCGTGTATATATTTATGCTCTGCAATGACACTGGTTCAGTCCTGGTGTAGTCCTGGTTTAGACCTTGTCCAGTCCTGGTATAGTGCTGGCGATTGGCTAGGCAGCTGCGGGGTGTATATATTTATACTCCACTAATGACACTGGTTTAGTCCTAGTTTAATCCTGGTCCAGTCCTGATTTAGGCCTGGTTTAGTCCTAGTCCAGTTCTGGTCCAGTCCTGGTTTAGTCCTGGTCTAGTCCTGGTCTAGTCCTGGTCGAGTCCTGGTCGAGTCCTGGTCGAGTCCTGGTGTAGTCCTGGTTTAGTCTGGGTCCAGTCCTGGTTTAGTCCTAGTCCAGTCCTGGTGTAGTCCTAGTTTAGTCCTGGTCGAGTACTGGTGTAAGTCCTGGTTTAGTCCTAGTTGAGTCCTGGTGTAGTCCTGGTTTAGTCCTGGTTTAGTCCTGGTTTAGTCCTAGTCCAGTCCTGGTGTAGTCCTAGTTTAGTCCTGGTCGAGTACTGGTGTAAGTCCTGGTTTAGTCCTAGTTGAGTCCTGGTGTAGTCCTGGTTTAGTCCTGGTTTAGTCCTTGTTTAGTCCTGGTTTAGTCCTGGTCCAGTCCTGGTGTAGTCCTAGTTTAGTCCTAGTCCAGTTCTGGTTTAGTCCTGGATGCCTTGGCGCCCCAGTCTGAACGGGCCTTTACGCAAAATGGACTATTGCAAGACTGAACCCATGTTATAAGCCTGTTATCTCCTCAGAAGCATATTACATAGATCATAAAATAGGGTAATATGTTGCCTTTAAGATTTTCAACTTTTGATCAGTTGACGGAATTAAAATTTCTTTTGCAATAACTACAGACTGTTGAAAATGTGTTGAAGGACTTTTAAAACTTCGGTGGCTAAATCTTGTAAAAAAATGTTCTTTCATTTTGTGTTTTTTGTGGTCGAACTCAAGCATTTATGCAGTTGTTCCTGATTGTGCGAGGGTGGACAGTCTGCTTTGTTTTCTGTCTGTTTTGGAAATTAATCACAAGACACCTGCCAAGTGTAAAGAAAGTGAAAAACAGCATGTAAGTCCTTGATTCGTGATATGTCTCGAAAGTCATATTTTGTGTCTAAACTGAATTTGTAATTAATCTTGTTGCTGTTTTATTACGATTACGATATTAGAGGCTGGCTCATATGTTTTTTTCCTGATGCTGATACCGATTGTTTAGAATCCAGAGCGACCAATGACCTATGAGCTCTGCCAATATTCTTTGGCCAATATTTTGGGCTGATTTTAATTATTTTCCTCAAATTCTGTTATTTAAAGTTCCTACAAACGCCCTCCTAGCCCTTTTATTTACCACAAACCTATGAAAGAGCGTTTTAGTCACGTTTTGTGCTGCTGTCTCTTCGTCTTAAAGTTTTAATATAAAGCTCTGGGTATATTTTTTAGGAAGCAGATTGACCAAAACAAAATATTGGCCTCTGCTGGAGATTTAAGGCCAATAGCAGATGCACTAAAAAGTCAAAACGTTGGCTCCATAACAATAATACTAAAGATATTACAGGTTGGATAGGCAAGTATTCCCGGTGCTGGTTATGTTGTGCACCTGTAAAGCGGTTTTGTACGGACTTAAAATCCAACTCTTGTTTTCCAGTGCTGTGATTAACTGAAATTCACCAATTTAGTTTTAATTTAACGTCACTGATGGCTATTGATCCAGGACACAGTAGTGCGATTAATGTTCAGCCTGGGCTCCTGCAGGCAAACTCAGAGTACCAGGGTTATCTTCTCGCATCAAATCAATTAGCTCTCCACAAACAATTAGCAGCACTACCTCCAGTCACTATCGAGATAATTAGAATTTAAATTAAGAAGAGGGTGTATGCTAAATAATGGAAGTAATAGAATGTAAATAAAGCAGAAATTGTACACTGCAAGGGGAGAAAAAGCTACTTCTGGTAGAACTTGACGAAGACATAGATTAATTTAAACATGAGGGAAATGCATTAATAGCCTCTTGTGGCCAATACGATCTGATATTTACCTAATGGGATTGCTATAGAAAACATTTGTCCTCTAAAGGGTGGTGGGGCTTGTAAAAAATAAATAAAAATGAAATAATAAAATTAAGTAATTGATAACATTACATTTTATGATAATCAGTGATTGAACATCAAAATTGCACACATTGTTATCCTACTTAGAATATTATTTGCATCAGTGCCTCAGAGGTGGACGACAAAACCAAAGGCACAGTTCTGACCAGTTCTTGCTTTTGTGGTGTCATTGGGCAAGGCGCTTCAAACACCATATGTAAGAGAATTTAAGTAATTTATGTTCCATGTACATCTCAGTTTAACATTGACTCACACAAGCTACATTTACACCATGTTCTTCCCTTGGCATACCACTATCTAAATTGTTGAATATTGCTGTAACTGGTGCCCACTGGCCCTCATAGTCTCTCCACATTTGCTTATAAACCTCCTCCTTTAGTCAGGGGTCTTGAACACTCAAAGATCACACTATGTTCACTTTTGAAATCATACTACGTTGATGATTCAAGACCCCCGGGCCCATATTATTGATGGTAAATAAACTTCTCCTGCTTAAGACATCCAGTTGGTCTCCAGCCTGAAAACTTCTACAACATGAAAGACTGGTGATAGTTGGAGGAGTGCTAGTGCGAATTTGGCAGCCTTTCTTCTATCAGTCTACAGTCTAGTTTACCACCAAATGTGGAGAATGAATAAGTAATGTTGACTTTGCTCTGTACCCTGCTTTCTACTAGCAGTATTACATATACAGTACTTATTACGTAAGTATATGTAATATGTAAATAATGTAAATCATATTACAACATTATGCTTAAGATCCTTTTTTATTGAAAAATTCTTCCAGTGCAGTGGCAGTTCTAGGATTTTTCTGAAACGGGCCATTAAGGGGCCACATGTTACATTCAGGGGCCAAGTACATCCAAGCACACAAATGATTAATTCAGTATATGAAATATACGGAAAATACGAACATAGACAGTAAAAAGAAAGCCCTCCACAGGTCTGTTTATTCTCCCATTAACATGTATTGATGCAATAGTTCTACTTCTGAATAGAGGTTGGGCCAGTGCCCCTGTGGTCCCTCCCCTAGAACCATCGCATTTGACCCATCCTTCAATGACGCTGGAGCCTTGGATCCATCTGTTGTTAAGCCCTAACAGGCAGCGGCTGTTGTAATTTTGAGCTTTACAATAATAAATCGAATTGAGCTAGGCTTGGTCAGGACTACTGTAGCTGGTGGATTTTACCTGTTGTGCATGCTTTGAGTTGATTGAAACTGGAGTACCTAGAGAAAACTCACCCAGACACAGAAAGAAAGGCTGCACAGAAAGGCTCAGGCTGCCTGGGAGTCAAACCTGAAACCTTCTTGCTGTGAGACGAGAGTACTAGCCTGCTTTTTTTTTCGATCTTACATCAGATGCCCTCACTGTTTTGCAGCCCCTCTTGTCTCCACGCCACATTTTGAAAGCCAATTCCTGAATCTAATTTCAACTTATTAACACTCACAATTTTCCTTTTTCCGTATAGCGCTTTCTCATTAGCCTATAATTGACAGCAAGAGATCAAACTGTGGTCTGAATAAAATAACAGAGAACATGCGTACAGCCCATCTCCCTTCTCCAATTATCTGCAGTGGATCTGACGTGTCCTTTGAGCTCACCTTGAATAACCTCGCCATCTGGATCAGCTCAGCCCCTTTCAAAGCGTGGTAGAGGCGGAGACAGAGGCAGGGGCAGAGGCAGGGGCAGGGGGAACGACAGGGGCAGAGGCAGGGGCAGAGGAGAAAAGAGACAGAGAGACAGAAAGAGACAGAGAGACAGGAACAGAGTCAGAGACAGAGGGGGGCTTTGGGTTTGGGGTGTGCCAGGACAGCGCCGCTCTGGGGGGTCCATGCTATTCACACCCAGAGAAAGTGGGCCAGGAAAGTCAAAGCCGAGCAGTCACACGTCCTCCATAAATATCTGTGTCGGGGCTTTTGACATGCAGTGTCAAGGCACAGAGCTGACCGCATTTATCTTCATTAAGTGTGCAGTGTCCGGTGTGCTCATGGTGAAGCTGTGGTGTGGGTTTGTGTTTTTATTTATTTTTCATTCAGAAACATCCAGGAACAGCAGGAAGCTTTGACAATTTGTACAATATTGTGATGTGTGTGTGTGTGTCAAACCAAAGATAATTACAATGAAATCATTTTGTAGTATATTTATAGGCTTATTGCTGCTGTTGCAAAGTTATAGTCTGACATGGTCGATATTAAATTCTGCTTAAAAGTATGACTTATGAAATACAGCTGTCTACACTGTAATAAAGGACTTTGGCTCCTCTACTGCTGTTCACACATCATTTTGTTAACATTGGCAACCTGTAGATAACTGTCATGACCCACTGA